AATTTGAGCCTACTTCAAAAATTTCATTAGAAGACGTTGTTTTGATGCTCAAATATCTTCAAATTCATCATCTCGACATCAAGATGCATAGACATAAGAAAAAAATGGATTTCAAGTTTTGAAAATAGCACATTTTGTAATGTATTTTTGGACCGTCAATTTTTCAAGTTTTCATAGATATGTCGATCTATATGAAAATTTAAACTTTATAAATAAATATGAAAATATATTTTAAGGCTATCACAATATCTCGATACTATTTGAAGGTAGGCTCTAATTTGATTGTTTAAAGCCTAGGCTCTATACAAACCGAACCCATATATATATATATATATATATATATTAGTTTTAGATTTTTAATTATTTTTTTTTGTCTCCATTTTCATGATCTCATTGTCTAGGTTTCCTATGATTCCATCGCTAAATTTTTGACCTAAAATTTATTTTTAAGATGGATTTTTTTAGGGCGGACTTACATGAATAGATGAGTCAATAAACTCATCAAATAAAACTAGACCCCAAGTAAAAAGGACTTCTTTGTGTATGCTAATGGGTATAGGAACATTATAGGGATAATTACAAATAGCCTCAAAGGCTAGATTTTTTATGCAAGTTATCCCCAGCCAAACTTTTTTTCTCGAAATACATTTTTCTAGTAAATACCCCCAAGTAAAAAAAAAGTATCATTTTTTGAAGAAAATACTATTTTTTTGTACATAAAAATTTACTTTTGGCTGGACATTCAAGTGAACTTACATGGGCTGCCGGACCGCTCTCTGACATTGTCGGATTGCACTTTGGGCATGTTGCCTGACCGCATGGGCCTATTGTCGGACTATTCTTTGACAGCGCCGAACCACCCCCACTCGCTCTTGAACCCTAATAACTGGTTTGCATGTGATCCCTCCCTCTCTAAGCCCGCCCCTCTCTCTCTTGAGCCCAAATAACTGGTTTGCTTCTCTCTCTCTTTAACCATATATTTTGGTGTAGATAAGCCTACCTCTTTAATCTCTTCAATGGTTAAAAAATTTCAACTGCAATTATCAAACCTTCTAGTTTACTGATTAAACTTCTTCCTTATACCATAAAGATTTTGAATTTGGTATCATAAATTTATTGCTTATTTGAAATTATATAGAGACATTTGAAAGACTTCTATAAAAAATATATAAAAATAAGGCTTATCACAATAAAAATATGTTAAGACTTGGGATTCCATGTAAGTGCCAAAGGATGCAAAATAAGTAGGAAATGGTGTGATAATTACTTTAGAATGGTACAAATTATTATTATTATTATTTTTTTGGAATGGTGATGATGTTATTATTAGAAATTTTTTTGGAATGGTGATGATGTTATTATTAGAAATTTTTTTGGAATGGTGATGATATTATTATTAGAAAATGTTTTTGGAATGGTGTGATGATAACTTTAATTCCGCATTTCAATGGAATTTTGTGACGAAAATAAAGAAATGATAATTTATAGGCAAGTGTTTGTAAAATGTTGGTAATGCGTTTCCCATACTTTTTCTAAACATAGCCAAACAGTAGCAATGTATTTCCCAGGTTGCATTTAAATACTATCAATTACGCCAAGAATATATTTCACAAACAATATATTTCCAGGTATCCAAACGGCCCTTAGTGTTAAGATATTCTAATTAGGGTGTGGTTTGTATAGAGCCTTGGCTCTAAAACATCAAAGTAAAGTGCGCCTTTAAATAGTGTAAAAAAAATGTTATTTCAATACTGGATATCTTTGTGATGACTTGAAACTTTATTTTCATCTGTAATTATAAAATTTAAAGCTTCAAAAAGAGTGAGGAATGAGCAAATCTATGAACACTTACAAATCTTGAAAATTGACGGTCTGAAAATGCATAACAAGATGCACTATTTCTAAAGCTTGAAATTCATTTTTCTTATGTCCATACATCTTGAGGTCGAGATGATCAAATTGAGAATTTTTGGGTTTCAAAATAACTTATTTTAGTGAATTTTTGAGGTGCACCCTAAATTGATTGATTAGAGCCTCGGCTTTATATAAACCTTTTCCTCGTGATTAATCGCTGAAAATCAACTTATGGGGAAGCAATTGGTGTGTTTTGTTTGGTATTTAAAATGGTTGCTAGCAAAATTAGTGGGCAAAAATATGTTACAAAGATGGATATGTGTGTTGGGAAATGATTACAGAAAAATGTCAACTTTAAAATTGTCTTTCAAAGTTGAGAATTTTGTTTTATTAAAAAAAGGTTGCATTTGCGAAATTTATGCTAATATCTCTTATATGGTACGCTCTTTTCTTTTCTTTTTTTTCAAAATATTGTTAATTTTATTTCTAAAAATACCCTTTATTCATAACTCCATATTCCGAACCCCACCTTGCTAAAAAAAACCGATGTCACGGGTTCAGTACTTCACTTTCCAACCAGCTTTTTAACTGAATAACTAGTTCCGAATTTCAAGATTCAGGCCGTTTATTTCACTACTCTATAATTAGAAGATTCGGATCTTAAAGGTCCAAACCGACGATTTGAAAAGAAAACAAAGTTCCCCGTTTAGAATTTGAATTTTTGAAATTAAAACAAGTAAAAAATAATGAAATAAAAATTGAGTAAAAAATATGTAAAATGAGGGATACCATACCATAAAGCAAAAAGGATATTAGTATAAATTTCCTTGAAATAATAAATTCCTAACAGCTTTTCAAATAATACATTCCTCGCATGATAATGCATTCCTAATATGGCATCACGGGCCTATTAGGTTGATAAAGACCCCATGGTTTTGGGACCTATTTTGGACCTGTGATTCTTCACGAACTTAATAGGTTTGTAATGGATCTTTACGGACTCCTTCTTGGGGTCCTTAGGACTATCGCAGACCTATTAAGTCTGTGATGGTCCATTACGGATCATCACGAACCTAGTATGTCTGTGAAAAGGGTATTTTGGTTTAAAAAGAATAAAATGTGAAAATATATATATATATATATATATGCATGTAAAATTAAAGAAATATGAGTATTTTTTAGTTATCGTAAAATTAGAAATAATTTTGATAAAAAAAGAGGTAGAATAATCGGTGGCATTATCTAATTTTTTATAAATAAGAAAAGTAACAATAAGATTATTTATTTTTTATGGGATTACTACCAACTATGGATGTGAAATTGGGTGGTCCAAATTGTCCCACTGATGGGGCTTATAGTTTAAAAGAAGTTTTTTCGAACTTTACAACTATGCTTAACTATTGAATTTCCATTCGAAGCGAGTGATTGTAATCTCTTTGTAAAGATACATAATCATATACCATACAATCCCTTGTTACAAAATTTCAATGTTGAGGTGTCTAGAATGTTAAATACATCTTCAGTTGTGTTCCTAATATTTTGACATTACCAATAAAATTCCTAATTGTACTGTTCATGTGTTTGAAAAAGTAATTTCTCGAGATTGAATTGAGACCATCCAATTTTTAGACAGTAAGGTCTATTAGAAAACTCAAATTTCAATTTTTTATTTAGAATAATCATCTAATAATTCTTAAGTGATTCCCAAAGTTTCAGATTAAAAGAATCCTTTGAAGTAGATCTTATGACCGAGGTAGTAGAAATAAACTATGCTTCCCTCAAGAGCATAATGTATATGCTAGAAAATAAATAAATAAAGTAACCCCACGGGTCCATGTTTCATGTGAAAAATAATATCAAATGCCCCAATCATAAATTGTAAAGCCAAGAGTATAATGTCCATTTACTCCCTCGGGTAAAACCCTATCTAGAATTAATTTTAAGACCTAAAATTTTGGGAGTGTAACCTCTTCAACCCATAGATTAACTTCAATAAAAATTCCTAATTGTATCCTCTATGTAATTTAAAAAAATATTATCTCGAGGTTGAATAAAGACAATTCAATTTTTAGATAGTGAGATCAAAGTGTTAGAAAACTCAAATTTCAATTTTTTTTTTAGCATAGTCATCTATTAATTCTTAAGTAGTTTCCAAAATTTCAGATTGAAAAAATCCTCCCAAGTTGATATTTCAACCAGCGTCTAGAAATAAACTATGCCCCTGATTGAGCATAGTATATATGTTCCAAAAAAAAAAAAGGTAAACCTAGGCGTCCATGTTTCATGGGAAAAATTATAACAAGTTTCCCTATCATAAATTGTAAAGCCGAAAGATATTCTACTCTTGTGGAAGTAGAATGTCCATTTCTTCCTAGGGTAGAACCCCATCTGACCTCTTCGACCCCTAAATTAATTTCAATAAAAAAATTGTACCCTCCATACATTTGAAAAAAATATTGCCTCAAGATTGAATATAGACCATCCAATTTTTTGATAGTGGGGTCTAAAGTGTTAGAAAACTGAATTTTTAGAATAATCATCTAATAATTCTTAAGTGATTCTCAAAATTTTAGATCAAGAGAATCCTCCTAAGTTGGTCTTCTGACCGAGGGAGTAGAAATAAACCATATGCTCCACTAAAAAAATGAAAAGATAAAAAAAAACACAATGTTCATGTTTCACGGGTAAAATAATAACAAGTGCCCCAATTATAAATTGTAAAGCCAAAAGAGGTGGGAGTATGGGCCATATCTCCACTGTCCAGAACTACCGGAAAAAAAAAAAAGGCAAGGGTAGCATACGTCTATTTACCCCTCAGTTAAAACACCCCATCTTGAAGTAATTTTAGGATCCTAAATTTTGGGGTGTAACCTCTTCAACATATAGATTAATCCAGATAAAAATTCTTAATTTCTGAAAAAAATATTCTCAAATTGACTAAGGACCATTTAATTTTTAGATTGCAAGATCCAAGTGTTATAAAACTCAAATTTTAAATTTCTTTTAGAATAATCATTTAGCAATTCTTAAGTGATTTCCAAAATTTCTAATCGGAAAAATCCTCGCAAGTTGGTCTCTTGACTGGGGTTTATAAATAAACTATGCTCCTGATTGAGCATAGTACATGTGTACCGAAAAAAAAAAAGAAGGAAAAATTATAGACCCAGGTGTCCACGTTTCACGGGAAAAACCATGACAAGTTTCCCTATCATAAATTGTTAAGCCAAAAGATATGCTACTCCCAGGTGAGTAGAATGACTATTTATTACCTGGGGTATGATTTCATTTAAAATTAATTTTAGGACCTTAAATATTAGGGATGTATCCTCTTCAACCCATAGATTAACTTTAATAAAGAAAAAATTCCTAAGTATATCCTTTATGCACATTAAAAATAATGTCTTGAAATTGAATAGAGACCGTTCAATTTTTAGGTTGTGAGATTTAAGTATTAGAAAACTCATCTTTTATTTTTTTTAGAATAATCGTCTAGCAATTCTTAAGTGGTTTACAAAATTTAGGATTGAAGAAATCTCCCAAGTAAGCATTCTAAAGGAGTAAATTAAAACTATGCGCCCAAGATAGCATAGTATATGCCTTCAAAAAGAAAAAGAAAACAAAAGAGGGAGTAAATTTTCCATGAAAAATAATAAGTGCCTCTATCATAAATTGTAGGAAAAATTATAGATACCTTGCCCTCTTTAATACTTTTGATACCTCACTATTAACCATGACATTATTTTTTTATATTTATTTTAAATAAAAAAAATTAATTTTTTAAAACCATAATACCCTTTTATTTTAACCTATATTTCCAAACTATGATGTCCAACATGTGTTGTGCCTTGTGTCGATTTGGTGTAAAAATGTGTCGGACACCCAATATGTATCTGTCCTAGCCAAAATATGTGACAAACTGGCACAAGTTGAACATAAAGCCGGTCCGACATAAAAATGTGTTAGTCCAGATTTATACTAGTTATGTTACACATTTTGTAGCCGACGAGCTTAGAGAGAGGAAGTGGGAAACCCGAAAAAAAAAAAACAATAATAGTAATAATAATAAATAAAAAAGAGCGTATATTGGTTAAAAAAAAAAAAAAGAAGAAGTGAATTTTTGTAGTTGGGGGTTGTTGGAAAAACAGAGTAAAGCGAATATTGTGGTACAAAAGGTATATTTTACGGAGGGGGAGGGGAGCACAAATTTGAAGCGGAGGGCAATCTCGTTATTCATAGGAGTATTAGGAGTCATTTCGTCCATTTTGTTCTGTTACCGACCGAACAACCGGGAAAGCTTCTGAAGGACATTGCAAACGCAGGGAGCCAAGAGAACCAAGTACCAAGAAAAGTTCTCTGTTTTCTCTCTCTAAATTCACATAGGCGGGCTTCTCATTTCCTGCCTTGTTTCAAATTTCCAGGTATTATTCTCCACTTTCTCTCTCTTCAAATCTTCTTCTGAGACTCAGAATCAGTAGAGCTTTAATTTGAATATCCTATTGGATGAAATGGTTGTATATTCACGGAGACTTGGGTTATTTGCAATTGGGTCTTTCATACATTTTTGTTTCAGTTTTTGCAGATTTTAGTGGCGGTATGTGTGTTGTTTCCAAGCGTATTGGGCTTTTATTACTGTACTTATTTGTTGAATTGAATAGAGGCGGGAACTCCCTAGCTGTTTGTCTCTCTCTCGCTCTTAATCTCTTTAACTCCCCCCTCCTCTCTCTCTCTCTTCTTATTTCTTTCTCTTTATTCGGTTGAGTATGGGTTAAGTGGTAGGTTTTGTGAATTTTTTTTGTTCATATTGCTAAAAAATTTTAATGCCTTCCTGTAATATGACCTCTATTGTCTGAGACTTTTTCGTGTTGAGTTCCGTGGTTGATTGGAACTGCAATTCTCTGTCTCTCTCTCTGTCTCTCTCTCTCTCTTTCTCTCTCTGTTCACACACACACATAGACACGCTCAGACACCGCATGCACACAAGCATGAACAGACACACACATTTCACTACCTTCCCTTTCTCTCTCTGCCCTAATATTTTTTTTTCTTTTCTTCTTTGGACAATTAGCCTTAATGGGCAGGACAAATATTAGCCCACACTCCTGTACTCTGTGTCCTTATCTTTTTCCTTTCTTCCGTATTTGGTCCCTTGCTTCAATACTTTGCTTTTGCTGCTTTTTGCTAGGGTTGTAAGAGGCTTCATGTTTCTTTACCAAATTCTCCCTGTCTTATTTCCTCTATTGGAGTTGTGGTTGGCGTTTTGTATTGAACTTCAAATTCTCATAGAACACAACTGATGTCAATGGATGAACCTTGGATTTTTGTATCATTTTTTCCTGATATTTGTGCATGTTATGATTTCTTATTAGAGCTAGGTCTCTTTGAAATGTAGGTTATTTTGGCTTGAATTGTGTGGTTGAGGCGATTCAATAGTTTCCATGCCTCTGTTTAAGAGAAAGCCGTTCTCCTTGATGGAGCCACCTCAAGATTTGGAGCCCCATGAGCTTGTATTTCAAATTCGTTTCACCAAGGAACTATTCAGATTTTACGAGTATCCTTTTGTCTCTTGGAATGTTTTTTAAGAGGCTATCCTTTTGAATTCATTCGATAGTGTGAAAGGGGACTACTTGATATCATAATTACGGCTTGAGTGCTCGTGCAATATGTGTGGTACATGCACATGCCACATATACGTACAAACACACACTGACAAACGTACATGCTCATGTACACATGCACAATATCGGACACTCACATTTGCGTACACATATTTATGATGAACTTATACTACTGCTACTATTTGTACATACATATATGTTTATGCATATATATTAACATGTGTATTTATTTTCATATGCATTAAATTTTGTAGGTATGTTTGCATGCGGACACCTAAATTGAGCATGCAAATATGCATAACTATATATGCATGTGTATGCATGCGAGTATGTTGATATACACATGCAAGTTCATAGGAATGAGTGTGTGTGTGTGTGCAAGCGCGCATGCGTGTGTGTGTTTGCACGTGTGTGCGTGTGTCCGTGACTGGCCCTAGGTGTGACATTGTCTGAAGTCTGGATATTTCATTGGACTTGCATTAAGTTTTTGCATAATCATCAAAGATTTGGCATGCATGCCCAAAATTTCACGTGTCTAGAATTTTGACGAGCATGTGTAGATTATTTTACTTTTAGCTTTGCTCATTAAACATTGATTTGGTATTTATATGCAGTTATGCACATACATAAATTTAAATTATTGACATGGAGGCTTGTTAACATAACTGTAATGTACAAAATTATCATATTTGACGTGGCACTTTTGAGGTGTCCTGTAGGACAATGACATGCGGTTTGTGTCCTTGTAACATGGCCTAAGTAATCTTTACAGGTGTAGATTTTGCTTTTCAATGAATTCAGCATTGAGCTACACTAATCTTCGGTGTCTTTCTTATTTCAGTACACCAAAGAATTATGGTAGCAGTACAGGGGCTTGTTATGAAATGAAGATCTGTTATATCCATTCTTGTTGTAATTATGATGATTTGTTCTTTTTCTTTGAGTATGATCCATGGGTGAGTGTGATTATAGGGTTTAATGGAAGACTTATCCTACGATGGCCCGTCCTAATATTGCTAAATGGTTCAATTATGTTTTGGGGGCACGGTAGTTGATCAGTGCCCACCCCCTATATTTATGTTAAGATATATTTAGAAAAATTCATAGACAAAAAATGAAACTAGGAAAAAAACATAATTATGGTATGGGTATGGGAAGAGAAGTACTTTGTAGGTTGCCCCAGCAGTTAGTTGAGAAATGTTCATCCACATACCTTGGTTGTGGATGTATCACTAGGCCATAATGGTAGCATTTTTTTCTTTGGGGGTTGCATTGCTCTTTGTTAACAAACTTTCGGATTTTACGATAAATCTTTTCATAGGCGGCCTAAGGTAGTAAGCAATTAATTTGATGAACTTCAAGGGGATTTTGGAAGGCAAGTCCTAGGGGGGAATAGGTTTCATTTTCTATGGGATTAGTAGGTTGTTGACCCTCGGAAAGAATTTTCGTTGGTGGTAGAAGTTGATTAAATTGAATTGTTTGGCCTTCAAAAGGTTTATGCTCTATTGCAAGTTTGTAACTAACAAGGACTTGTATGAGTCCATGTTTTTTTTTCTGTCATACAAATTCTTTTTTCTTCTCCTTTTAAAGAAAAAGGACTTAAATGACAAACATGTTTTAGGGTGTCCATATGTAAGTCTATAAAATGGTGTTGCTGAGATGAGGATGAATGTTTATATCTAAGATGAGGATGTTGAGATGGATGACTTACATGCGAGAAAAGATAGAATTCCAAATGAATACATCTGAGGGAACTTAGGGGTAGCTACAATAGGCGATAAGATGAAAAACAAGTAGGCTTAGGTGGTTTGGCCATGAGCAGCATCCACTAAAAACAATAGCAGTTAGGATAGGTGATATAGTTCAAGTGAGAGGCTCTAAAAGGACAAGGGGAGTGTTAAAAAATACTTGAATGAAAGTAGTGAGAAGAGATATAGTGACTTGTGGTCTAATTAAGGATATGGGCCCTTGTTAGAGCAAAATGGTCGGACAAGATTCATGTAGCCGACCCCATATAGTTGGCATAAGGCTTGGATGATGATGATGACAATGACAAAGATATGTTTATTTAAATTTTTATTTGTTTTATCATTGTTTAGCAACTATTCAAATTTGATGTATAAAAATTGTAAGTACTCAAAGGTATCTTAGCATTCTAGGATTTGTCTTATTTAATGCCATTTTCTTGGGTCGCCATGTTAGAGTTTGATAACTGTGTGCTTGTCCTTTTATGGTGCCTTGCTTCCACTTCTTAGCTCCATTTCGTGCCCACATGCTACCTTAATTCAACTATAGGCTTGTGTGGGTTGTGTTGAGAGACACTAGAAAATAATGTGGGAATTGGAGTGTCCTATTGTTTTATGCTTTTTGAAAATCTGTGCATCATAAGCTGTGATAACATGCAGATTGGCTTTCCAACTTGTCGGTTTTGGAGGGAGTAATTATTTCTAGGATATTTGCCTTTTATCATTCATTTGTGAGGTTAACATTATCATCTTTAGTTTTTTGCATAAAGAGATGGAAGAGGAAGAATGAAATAAAAGGTGTCCAAGAACTAAGTAGTCAATGAAATTTGAAGAATTTATTTTCAAAAATTTATAAATGATGACCATTATAGGAGTACAATGTCAGAAGGAACCTTGGACAAAAATGAGGTTGGTAGATACATTCGTAGGATTAAGATATGTAAAGTGAAATAAGCTTTAAGAAGATAAAGATAGGACAGACTTTATGAGCAAATGGTATCCCAATGGAGGTTTAGAAGTGCCTGGGAGAGGCATATCCTGGTTGATCAAGTCGTTCAATAAGATTTGGAGAACAAAGAAAATGCCAGACGAATGAAAAAAACAAAATTGTGGTACCTACTTATAAGAACAAAAGAGATATACAAAATTGTGCGAACTATAGAGAGATCAAACTTATGAGCCACACTAGGAAGCTTTGAGAGAGTGATTGAGTAATGGCTGCAACATGAAACAAGTGTATCGGAAAATCAGTTTGGTTTTGTACTAGGGAGGTCAACCATTGAGGCTATTTTCCTACATAGTCAATTGATTGAGAAGTTTAGGAGGAGAAAAGACCTCCACATGGTCCTTACTGATTTAGAAAAGCATATGATAGGGTTTGTAGATAATTAATTTTGTAGATGCTGGTAAAAAAGGGAGTCTCTAGAGGATAAATTGACATAGTTAGAGACATGTATAAGGGAAACTAAGTAGTATGAGGACAACTAGTGGAGAGACAAGTGAGTTTTTAGTGACAGTAGACATAGATCAAGGGTCAACGTTGAGCCTTTATCTCTTTGTTTTGGTTATGAACGAGTCAACTAGGCATCTACAGGGTGAGGTACCATAGTGTACGTTATTTACGAATCATAACTTTTATTGATGAGACTGGAGATGGTGACAAGGCAAAGTTAGAACTTTAGAAGAATTCTCTGGAATTTAAAGGTTTTAAAAATAGTCAAACTAAGACAAATTATATGGAATGCAAATTCAGTGATAATAGCAATAGAAACGAGGAATTAGTTAACATTGATGGTCAAGAAGTACTTAAGATATATTATTATCGATAGCTTGGGTTGATGATCCATGAGAATGGAGAGATTGAGGAAGATGTCACACATAGATTTAGAGCTGGGTGGACGAAGTGGAGACGTTCTTCTGGAGTTTTATGTAATTGTCTCATACCAATGAAACTACGAGGGAAGTTCTATAGGATGACTGTAAGACTAACCATGCTTTATGGGACGGATTGTTGGGCGGTCAAGAAACAAAATATTCATAGAATGAGTATAACTGAGATGATGATGCTGAGATGGATGAGTGGCAAGACAAGAAAAAATAAAACTTGAAATGAATATAACTTAGGGGTGGCTCCAATAAGTGATAAAATTAGGGAAAGTAAACTTAGGTGGTTTGGCCATGTGCAACATTGATTTAAAACAACAGCCATTAGGAGGGATGCTTTATTCAGCTGGAAGGATCTGAAAGGGTAAAGGGAAGGAACAAAATGACATGGATGGAAGTAGTGAGAAGAGATATGCTGGCTTGTGGCATGATTGCGAGTATGACCCTTGATAGTGCAGAATGATGGACCATTATTCGTGTAGCCGACCCCAAATAGTTGGAAAAAGGCTCTGATGATGATGGTGATAATGATAATGATGGCATTCTCTTTAGTTTATGAGTATGTATATTGGCTAGTGTGCTTTTTGCATGGTGAAGAGGAAGAGGTGGCGGATATAGCTAGGTCATATGCTGATTATTATTAGGCCTTAATTTCTTTTCCTTTTGCTACAAGCTTTGTCAAGGTTCGGCTGTATTGAAGGCGGGGAAATTCTATGGTCTTTCAGAATTAGGGATAATGTTATATATAACATTAACCTCAATGTTATGTAGAACTCACTGAAGTCAGTTTAATTAGCGTATATTATATGAGTTTTGGAAAATTTCATGTATGTAATTAGTATATTGTAGGAGTTGTGGCCTTATTTGCTCTAAACAACCCATGTTTTTTAATGGGTGAGGATCCTAAAAGCTCCAAAAGTCAATATTGTACTTCTACTCCTCAAGATAACATTGTGGCAAAAATGGATTTTGATCCCCAAAAATTGCTCCATCTCCATTGCCATCTCAAAATCGGATCTGAACCGTCTATTTTGATGGATGGAAAATAAATCAAATTTGGATCTCCAAATCCATTTTTTATGATAAAGAATGATTTGGTGTGCTTTACATTCTCAATGGTTGAAAGAAGAAAAAAGAGTTTGAGGTGGGGCGCTGCACAGATCTATAATGCAGCAGCTGCTACATCATAGATAGACCCTTTTGTAAAAGAATTAAGTTCATGCAACTTAATCCAGCACAAGCAGAAATCTCAAACTAAATTGCCACAAAATAGACTCATGCATATGTCATGAAACGTTTTTTTTTGGGAGAAATAGTCCTGTATCTCGTTCTTAGCCCAATTTTGTGGTAATTTGGGGGAGTTAATGTTTGGGTACGTCAACTTTTATAAAGTTTCAAAAAAAACACTCAGTCGAGTTGGTCATATTGGAGATTTGCAATATGAAATTAATCTTTTCTTCTTTCAGTGAACTTGAAAGTTGGAATGGTCGAAGTCCAGATCTGGAAGAGACATATGTAAAGAGCTTTTTATTTATTTGAAACCCGCTTCACCCCTTGTTTATGCTAGCCCTTTTTTGCTTTTAGAAATACTTTTTCATTAATGAGAGAGGTATGCATTATGTGGAGCTCAAAATAAGGTCATAAACATGGACTTATGCATGGTAGAAAGGTGGAGAGCTGAAAGGAGAGATGGTCGAAGAGGTGATCAGGTTATGGATGGAGTGGAAAAGTGAGCCTCAATGGCTATTTCTCTGTTATAAATAAACTGATCAAAAAAATTCTGTGTAATGTCCATGCACATAAGACCATGGTTTGTTACAAGACTGAAGCATGGCATTCATTGTTTTGGTGTTGTTGATAGCCTCTATTGGAGAGGCATTTAAAATAAGTTTCTAATTCATTTGAAACTGTTTCATCCCCTTGTTGGTGCTATCTATTTCAGACCCAAACTAATTTCATTTTTATTGGTCTTAAGTTGCAAACTGGTTTAATACAATAGCTGGTGTTTCTTTATATCCATGACCTGTGAGATCCCTGACCTGTGATAACCCAGCATTTCCAAAACTTCAAGGGAACAACATATTCAATGTTTTGGTCTACGCTCTTCAGTCACACGAAAGATCCTATATTTTACAACTGTGAAAGAATGAGTGTAACTGATTTTTCTTTATATCCCTGACGTGTGAGATCCCTGACCTGTGAGAACCCAGCATTTCCAAGACTTCAAGGGAACATCATATTCAATGTTTTGGTCTACACTCTTCAGTCACATGAAAGATCCTATATTTTACCACTGTGAAAGAATGAGTGTAACTTTTCTTTAACTTCTTAAGTTTGGTGCATAAATACAACCTTTTTTGAATAAAAAATTTCCATGGATAAATATTATTTTAATCAAACTGATAATCACGTATTGTACGAAGAAAAGGGCAAACATTCACACTCGCATATATAATAAATGCTATATGTTTGGCCCACCTGATCATTTTGTTGAGTCTGCAACTCAACCCAGCCAGGTGACCGAGCAAGTTCAAGTCCAAGCCTGGATTTTCAAGTTAATTGTGTTTGAAATATAGCGGACACACAATTTTTGTCTACATATTAGATACACATAGATACATGCATACATACATACATACATACATACATACATATATACATACACACATATACACATACATTCATAACTACATGCATATGTAAATATGCATGTATTTGTATTTGTGTATGTATGTACGCATAAAGATATATCTATGTATTTAGGTAGAAAATTCTCACACACATGCACATTTATGTATCCAGGGCACAGTCATATGTGCATCTTCACTGTCTATATTATGTGGGTGCATGTGAGCATGTAAGTGCTTGAATATGTGCACAAAATTCTCTCTTCCTCTCTCTATTAACTAATTACATATACATATATATGAATTCATGCATATGTTTGATTTTACAAAGTCATATACGCATATTTTAGTCATACTAATGTTTATTCACTAGGATGTACACATACTTCCTTATAGAGATGCATGAATGCACATGGATGTGTGGTTACATGCCCTGTGTTTTACCTTAATTGAGGTTAGGAACTATTTGAGGCGGATAAATCTCTATCGCCAAAGAGTTTGGACATGTAAAGTTACTGGAAAGACAAAACTTACATATGAAGAGGCTTTGATCTCGGAGCAAAATGCAACCAAGAAGGTCCAACAGTTCCACAAAGAACTTATGGAGCCAGTACTACTTATGGTCCAATTTAGTAAGAATCCATGGTTATGAATTGCATATGTGATCTGTTTGAAATATATATATATATATATAGATAATAACTGGTTTACATCTCGAAAGTTTTCTTCTACTAAAAGTTGATTTCTGTGGCTACAAGAAATTAACTTGTCCTAAGTGGCATCTGTTTTCAATTGTTATATTTAATCCATGATATTTATAGCATGGCACTAACTGAATTTTTTCGTGATACTGATAATCGTATAGAACATATCTTGGACAGCATAAATATTTAGACTAAGTTGGATGGGACTACGGGGTCTGGTGTTAGTGCAGTACACTGGGCTACTGGCTAGAAGAAGCAGCAGAACTGAAAAAGATTGAAAGTGTATTTCTTTTGGAAGTAAAAAGTTGTTAAATATACGAGTATGCACATGAGGAATCCATCCTAAATTGTATGGTACTGCTGGCATTATGTTATGTTTATAGAGAGATTCTCAATAGAATAATTCTAGGCTACATTACAAGGAAATAGAGAATAATCTGTTCCAACTCGGATTCGAATATTCTGAATAACCGACCTCGATTTTGCCACATTTAGTGCAATATGTCCATTTGAGTCCTTGCAATCTATAGCTGTCAATATTTATATATTAAATTAATTTGTGACTTTAGAATACAAAGGTTGACTTCAAAAAATAAATAGTGTGGGTCCAAATCAAATGAACACATGAACAAATATAACACGTGTGACAACACATGTCCTATAATGCCCATACGTGTGTCTAATAAAACCTTACATGTGTCTTGTTTGTCTATGTGGACTCGTATGTCCATGTAGCAAAGACACTGTGCAAATCCATAAAATGAGAATTTCTTGACACTCGTGCAGACACGAATTTCCCATGTCTATATTCATGCTGACACATGTCTAAATTCTTTGGTATGTTGTGTTCTCCAAAAACACATGACATACAAGTCGTTGTTACATTGTTTCTTGGTTATATCGTGATGAGAAAATATGTGGTGCTCTCTAGCCTGCCTAGGTAATACTCCTTTCTCACTAACCTCACCTTTTATTTTAGATTTTGTCATCTTCTAAATGTACTTCCATTGTTACTTTTCCATCGGGCAAGGAAACGGATGCTTACATGTTCTTTAAAAGCGCACCTGTATTTTTTAGCATAGGCTTGTGCTAGCATGATTAACTAGAGGCCTTCTTAGATGAGGACAATGTTCATACTCAGCTAAATAGAGGTTATGGGGACAATTTTCTGGTTCATCTGAATTGAGGATATGCAAACTTACGGGTGGGGTGTGAAATGGATTGGTCTATGGGGTATTAAACTGTAGAAGATCTGTGCATACCAATACAAATAAACGAAGCAAAAGTAGGCTTTGATTTTGATTGTAGATGTTGCCGATCCAGTTGTTACATTTGGTACGCAGCAAAAAATAAAGGTTCTGTTTCTTTTCCTTTTTTTTCTTTTTTTTCTTTTTTTTCCAATATTGGCTAGAGAGAAAGGTCATAAGGATGTTACTTTTTCAATTTTTACTGAAGTTGAAAATGGCATGTGTGTGTGGCAAAGATACCAATCATAAGTATTGGAAAACACAATTTAGAAAGTTAGAATGTAAAAATGTCTTTCTTGGTGTAGAGATGAAAATGAAATAAAAGCAAAACAGAGAATGGAGAGCTTGGCATGGTTAACGCTTAAAAATTTCTACATTTTATTTTGATCTAAGTTCGTTATATATACACTTTATTTTGATCTAGCAGTGTTGTACGTGTATCTGACAAGTTCTTATTGCATCTAAGACGTTCTTCTTTTGTTCTTGATGTTCAAATAAAAGAAAGAAGTTTCTGCAATGCTTTTTTGTGAATAAATGTCTTCATCAAAACTTCAAAGTTGATTGAGTTGTCTCTTGGCATGAGTTAACCTCTGATGAGGTGGAATCGTTCTGTTTTGGTTGTTTTTGGAGATTGGGTAAACCAATATCATAGGTTGAACCAAAGGTCCCTCATTATGGACTTACCTCAAACCATATCCTAATTCTTCTTGAAATTCTTGTTGTTTAGAATGAACCATTCCATCCTGATTGAGAACCTGTGGTCGGAGCACGAAGATTTTAGTACATGAACTGCAAAATGGTGGAACTAGCATTAGCATGTGATGCAGTCGAGATTATCGCGCTTGACTATCTGGAGCGATTGGATTGCGATCACAAGAAGACTAAATAAAAGATGATTTAATTTTTTAAATGAGTCTTTATTTTTATTTTATTTTTGAAGGGATAAGTCTTTATTTTGGTGGGACTTTCTACTTCTCGTTTTGAATGCGCCATTTTTATTAGTAGATAAGTTTTGGAGTTTTCTTTAGAGGTTTTGTCTTATGTGATAAGGACAAGGCTATCTCTTAAGGAAAGGATAGTGTTTATTAGAAGGGAAAGGAATGCGTTGAATTAATTGATAAGGTGGTGTTCTATGAGGAGATAATGCCTACCTTAATGGCAAGGGTGGGGCGTGCTTTCTATAAGAACAAAGGTTCGTGCTTTGTAAAGGACAATTGGTTTTGACATGAATAATATAAGCTTTTGCTTTAGAAAGAGTAGGGAGAGAGAGAAGGAGGCCTTGTGGGTTTTTTATTTACCTCTTATGCTTGTGGGTCGTGCTGGAATATTCGGATCTGCACGTGTTGTTCTTTCTTCTTGTGATTCCCTTCTCGTTTTTATTTCTATCTCTAAAACTCGGTTAATTTTTGCTGGTGTTGTTTGCCGGTAAATTTATATTGCATCAGGTGTTATCAGAGAGTAGTCGATTCTCGTGGATCGTAGTGTTTATCGTTAGGCATCATGGCTCGTGGACAAGGTCTATGGCCCAGCATCGGGACTCAACCCATCCAGCCAGAACGAAACCTCTGAGCTCTTCGTGAGATAGATATCAATTGTTTGAGAAGGCAAGTAGAAGAGCCGACCCTGTGCTTAGCGCAAAAACTAGCTTCGACACACTATGATGATGGTAGTGAGTCGGATTCTATTTTCGATAACTCATTCCATGCTAACGCTCTATGTCGGGAGCCTCATGGTCAGGGGAATGATGTATTTCCTTATTGTCAGGAGATTGATCTACATAAGTTTGATGAAGAACCCGTTGAAGATGAAGAATAAGTAGGCTTGGATCTTCAATCGAAATCATCATTGTTTGATGTCATAGGTTATCCCGTCTTTGATGAAGGTCCTGTTTTTTATGAAGAGCAAGAGCAAGATGAAAGTGATCTCATCTTTGATGAAGTTCCTGCGTTTGATGAACCTATATTTGATGATGAGCCAGATGAAAGTGATCTCATCTTTGATGAAAATCTTATATTTGACAAAGAGGAAGAGGAAGCACTCAAAGGAGCATCGATGAGCGTAGTTAAATCAGTTACGAAAGTTGTCAACTCCAAGATACTCGCTTAGTATGTTTTAGGGCTGAGCATAAATAATTCCTATGGATATATGATGACACATTCCTCGAGGTTTTATTGATTTCAGTGCATGTTTTGATCAGCGCAGTAACCCACAGGTCATAGGATCGTGTTTCCAAAATTTAGGTTGAAGAAGGTTGCCGCGCTAATACAAAGTTGATCTTAGCACATTTTAAAACTCGAGGTCGAGTTTTTTCCAACTAGGGGAGAATGACGCAGATCAAAATCTGGTGGCTACAAATTTTAATTCTATTTTTATTAATTTTATTTTTATAGTTTGGTTAGAATTTTTATTTTTATTTATTAGGGTTAATTATTAAAAATAGGATTTTTGGGGTTAGTTTTGATAAGCCTAATTTCTATGAGTCCATTTTTTATGGTGATCGTCTTTAGTGATTAGTGATGGAGTCCGTTGAATAAGTTTTGTTTTCAGTATGCAAAGGTTTATCTTATTGGGTTTTGTGTTGGAGTTATGTTGGTACAAAAAAAATAGGACTTTGGATTTACGTGGATACAAATTTAGACATTTGGGGAAGTTTATATCTTGTATTAGTTTGGGGTACAAGGTGCTTATCTTTAGTTTTTAAGAAATATATTTTGTTTCCTATTTTAAAGGGAGTGTTATCTTTTTGGGTTGGGTTGAAAGATAATGAATCACGTAGGTGTAAAGGCTGAAGTAGGGAGTTGTAATTATCTTTTAGGAAGTTGGATGGGAGAATATAGATAGAATCTAGAGATAGATTTATTTTGGTTAATTATCATATTTTGTGTTTAAGGAGATATTTTAGGAACCTCTAGAATGATATCCATAAATTGAAGGAGGCTCATCCCCTATCATAGGGACGTGAGATAATGGAAACTTTATAGCAAGGTAGATATCTTTTTAGTTATGGAAAGGAAAATTCCACCTTCTTTGTAACGTGGCGTGGGTAAAAGTTGGGTCATCGTATTTTGTTTGTTATCTCTTTTTAGTAGTTATCTTTACGGTTGTGAATGTAAACTTCTATAAAAGGAGCACGTGAATTGTAATTGGTAGATTTGAATTTTATGGAATAAAGAAAGTATTTCTTGTAAAGAGAAATGCCCCTTTGTGGGTGTTGTTTCTTCTCTTGTGTTTATAGGCTCGCACCGGAATACTCTTATCCACACATTTTGTTCTTTCTTCTTATGGTTTCCTTCACGATTTTTATTTCTCTCTTAAACGCGGTTATCTTTGCCAGTGTTGTTTACCGATGAATTTTATACCTCTAAAGGAAAACTCCAAAACTTATATATTAATAAAAATGGCACATTCAAAACGAGAGGTAGAAAATCCTACCAAAATAAAGACTTATCCCTTCTAAATAAAATAAAAATAAGGACTCATTTAAAAAAGAGTAATGATCCTATGAGACCCTCCCACACCCATGTGTGTAGGACCCCAAAGGATCACCCATGAAATTTGGCACAGATCTCTAGAAAGTTATCACATGGGTGTGGGACTTGACTTTTCTAGAGAT